GAATACAACACAGCAACAGGGTAAGTAGATTTTATTCACAAAATATAAGAATAATTGGCTTTTCAAGCAAAGCCGTTGCATTCCCATACAAACCTTTATTTTCAAACCGTTGTAACACAACACCTCCATATGCTGCAAGGCGGGAGTCATGTTTCGCGTGGTCGTTATGTAATAGTACATGCCATATGTCACGTTAGCCTGAACGTTCGCATAAAAAGGGAAAGAAAAAGGATAACATTGAGAGCTTGGGCCGCCTGTGGATTCTTCAGCATCACAGCTGAGGCACAATGCGCTATTGTAATATAATATAGTTTTCTGTCACGTTTGTCACGCGAGACTCACTGTTGCCTCGCACAACGTGATACGTATTGTGTAGGATTTGAACTTAGCGAGCATGGCTTGCTGTCAAGCTTGTAGAAGCTGTTGTGACGGCGCTCAGTCTCACAAAAAGGATTCCGTATGGACTTGGATCGTTTGTGTTGCCGCTGCCACAAATCTGGCTTTCACTGTTGGATTAATCTACAGCTTTGGAGTGCTGTTACCAGTGTTGATGGACTACTTCAAAGAAAACAGGGAAAGGACAGGTGAATGATTAGGTTATGACCTATACTTTTATAACTCAAAGGTTGCCGGGCGCCTGCTTACATGAGAACATCAAAACTAAGACGATCTTTATTGATTACACGGAGAACCGAGTACAGAGTGTCAGATGGTATTGAGACAGTCTTGCGTATATCCACAAGCTTGTTGGGAAATGACGTTGTCATACCACATTTTCATACCATAACATCAGCAGTCAATTGGAAAAATACAAAGGAAATAATGAGACGTTGGTGGCTCTGAATTTGCATTTTGTTTCACGTCGAAATTTTCGATTGTTTCCGTTGTCGTCAAAATTTATATTTTCTATGGGTGATATTATTAAAACTGAGGCGACAGAAGTCGACTCTCCCCTCTCCCCTCCAAAAAACCTGGCCCCTGCAGTGACCCAACAGAGAAATTAAACGGTTAGGTTAGGGTTAACTTCGCTTTAGGTTCTAGTAAGGTTAAAGTTTGGTTTAGGGTATGCGTGCAGAAATCACACGGTGTCTTACATGTGATTATTGTGTAATCGTACCCGTCACGCAACGCACAATCGTAAATATCAATTGTTCCATTTTCGTCCCCAGAGGCCGCGCTCCTTTTGGTCAGCACCAAGAATCGCGACCTCTGGGAAGGTCCAACACCGGAAGTCTGCGATTCTCAGAGTCAATCTGACAAATCTGATTGGCTGAGAATACGAAACGATTACTGTGCGAATGCTCAGAAAATGGACCTTCCCAGAGGTAGCGATTCTTGGTGCTGACTAAAACGAGCGCGGCCTCTGGGGACGAGAATGCAATTGCAGATTTGCACTTTGTCGTCATTTGACTACAACTACCAGAATTCCTTTCGTTTTTCCTTTATTATTTAAATTTTGAAGTCCCTGTGGGGTTTAAATAACAATTGCCCCAATTAACATAAGAAATAGAAAAAGTGAAGGATTCTGGTAGTTGTAGTCAAATGACGCCATCATGCAAATCGCCTCTTGTACGAGTGTTAAAGTTTTCTAGTCCGTACTGCGCAGTCTCACCATCCCAATGTTTGTTAGTCTCGAGGAGATGCGAATTCGAGCCTCTTACCTTGAGGCATCATTAGGGGGTCTGAGTGGTCCACATCCCGTTAATATTTGGCCGAAATATTCTGTGACCATTAATTACAATCAGTAAAAAGTAAGGATTTTCCCTCTAGATATTTCGCTTTATCTGATTTTAAAATCCCATATCACTTTCTCCAAAATTATTCTGAATCCGGTAAATGTTTTTACCTTTGAGGCATTTTGTGGGAGGCGCGGTGGCCTCATGGTTAGTGCGCTCGTCTCCGGAT